TCTATCTATCTATCTATACTTACATATGTATATGGAGACTTGGTGTGGCATCATAGGATAAGCACCCGACCTCAGGGTCAGTTTGAACTGCAAGGTTGGTGGTTCAAAGTTACCAGCTACTCCTCAGAAACCCTATACAGGGTCACAATGAGTTAGAATTGACTCAAAGGCACACAACAACAACAACAACAACAACAATGTATATATTTATAGGGAGTCCTAGTGTAGTGCTGTGGGTTACTGCCCTGGATTGCAAAGTCGATTTGAACTGCAAGTTCAGTGGTTCAAACTAATTAGTTGCTCCTTGAAAACCATATATTGAGTCGCTATGGGGTCAGCACCAACTCAATGACACTTGACAACAACAACATATATGTACATACTAGCAATAACAATAAAACTTTTAGAATCGAGCTGAAATGGAATTCAAAAATTTTCTTTTTTAAAAAAAACAAGCTCTATAAAAATAAAAAATATGTTCTTATACTGTGAATTCTATTAAGTGTCCATTCTGATATTTAACAGTTCTTCCTTTCAGGAAACTCTTATAGCTCATTGTGAAATCTTTTACATTTTACTTATTACTCATATTCTTTCATGCAAATGCCTATAACAACAGCATCAAATTCTCATGAACTTTTAAGACACACATTAATAAATAATAAAACTCCAATTAATAAGCCACTCTCAAAATTAAAGTAGATATTATGCTACATAAAGAATTACCTATTGATTTATTTTCTTGTGTTTTTGCATTTTCTGGAACAAAATTTGAATTTTCAGAATCACTATTTTTAAGTTCAGGCTCACTTTTGAAGGAAACAGACCTGGAAGAGATAAATATTAATCTAAGTTAAAATAAACAGTTAATTTACAAAACTAACACCCAAAATAAGTTTGGAGAAATGTGGTGAAGTAATATAAATACAGATTTGGATGTGGTTATATTAATATTGGAGTCTTGGTGTCGTGCCGTAGGATAAGCATTGGTCCAAAAGATTGATCTGAACTGCAAGCTTCGTGGTTCAAACTCACCAGCCACTCCTCAGAAACTCTATACAAGGTCACAATGAATCAGAATGGACTCAACAGCACTTAACAACAGCACATTAATATTACTATAGCACAAAATATAAAAGATCGGGGCTGATGGAGTGAGAGCTGAAATATTAGTAAATATAAGATAAGAATGTTGTTTATTGATCCAGTGGTGAGGATTTTTGTTTTCTTGACATTGAGATGTAATCCATACCAAAGGCTGTGCTCTTTGATCTTCATCAGTAAATGTTTTAAGTCCTCTTCACTTTAAGCTTGCAAGCTTGTATCATCTGCATATCGCAGGTTATTAATTAGTCTTCCTCCAATCCTGATGCCACGTTTTTCTTCATAGAACCCAGCTTCTCAGATTATTTGCTGAGCATACAGGTTGAATAAGTATGGTGAAAGAATACAACTTTGTCGCACACCTTGTTTAATTTTACACCATTCAGTGTTCCCATGTTCTGTTCGAACAGCTGCCTCTTGGTCCAGGTACAGATTCCTCATGAGTACAATTAAGTGTTCTGGAATACTCATACTTAGCAATGTTGTCCATAGTTTGTCATGATCCACACAATCGAAAGCCTTTGCGTAGTCAATAAAGCACAGGTAAACATCTTTCTGGTATTCTCAGCTTTCAGCCAAGATCCATCAGACATCAGCAATGATATCCCTCATTCCTCAGTCTCTTCTGAATCCGGCTTGAACCTCTGGAAGTTTTCTGTCAATGTATGCTTGCAGCCATTTCTGTATTACCTTTAGTAAAACCTTACTTGCCTGGGATATCAAAGAGATTGTCCAATGATTTTCGCATTTTGTTAGGTCACCTCTCTTTGGAATGGGCACAAATATGGATCTCTTCCAATCAGTCAGCCAGATAGTTGTCTTCCAGATTTCTTGGCAGAGATGAGTGTCTCTAGTGCTGCCTCACTTTCTTGAAAGATTTCAATTTTTATTCCATCAATTCCTGGTGCCTTGTTCTTTGCCAATTCCTTCAATGCACCTTGGACTTCCTCCTTTAGTATCATTGGCTCTTGATCATATGCTACCTCTTGAAATAAAGAAAGAGCACAAGAAAAAATATAAGAGGAAAAGGGAGAAGAGAAATGAAGAAATGAAATAAGAATGAAAGGAGAGGCAGAAAATAAAAAAGGAAGGTAAAGGAGAGAGGGGAAGAAATAGAATAAAGTATAAACAAAGAAAAGCAATGAAAGGTGATTTCAAAAACTACAACAACAAAGAAACAGGGCAGGTATTAGACCCAGAGAGAAGAAAATTCTGGGGGTCTTCTGTTAATCAAGTTGCTCACAAGATGGTTCCAGAATTGGCAGGAGGGTGATGGTGGTAGTGTGACATTGAGTCAATTCTAACCCATAGTAACCTTATATAGGGTTTCTGAGGCTGTAAACAGATGGGAGCAGAAAGCCTCATCTTTCTCCCCCAGAACCACAGGTGGATTTGCACTGTTGACCTTGTGGCTAGCATGTGGATTATGTTACCAGGACTCCTTAGTAAGAGGATAGAGGTAAAAAATGAGAAAAGGGAAAGTTAACAGGTTGTTGTTATATGCCATGGAGTTGGTACCGACTCATAAGGACCCTGCATAGGGTTTCTGAGGCAGTAAATCTTTACGGGAGCAGAAAACCTCATCTTCCTCCCTCAAACTGCTGACTGTGAGATTAGCAGCCCAATTCGTAGCCATTACGCTACCAGAGCTCCTTTAAAGTTTTCAGGTAGTGGCTGTTATAATACAAGATTTAGGCTACTTGAAAATTGAGAATGTAATCTGGTGTCATGACTTAGTAAAGGAGTGAGTTTTGTAAACATCAGTGTAGATTGTTAATTCAAATTTATAAGTAACATAATTTATATGACCAAGGGCTGAATCCCAAGATTTAGAGAAATTTAATGTAAATAATAAAAAGCCAAGATGTATTTGATTGAACTGAATAAGGAGCTACTTGGTGGTTTAAAATCAGGAAGAGTGTCCATCAGCACTGTATCCTTTTATCATACTTTTTCAAGCTGTATACAGTGCAAATAATTTGAGAGGTTGGACTATTTGAAGAGAAACTTGGCTTCAGGTTTGGAGAAGACTCATTAACAGCTTGTAATATACAGATGGCACAACCTTGCTTGCTGAAAGCAAAGAAAACTTGAAGCATTTATTGATGAAGACCAAAGATTACTGCCTTCAGTATTGATTACATGAAGAAAACAAAAATCATCACATCTGGATTAATGAGTAATATCATTATAAATGGGGGAAAGATTGAAGTTGTCAGGGATTTCATTTTTCTTAGTTCCACAATCAACACCCATGGGAGCAACAGTCAAGAAATCAAACAACATATTGCACTGGGAAAATCTGCTGCAAAAGTATAACAAAGATGTTACCTGACCCAAGTAATGTTTTCAATATCCTCATACATGTGAAACTAGATAATGAAAAAGGAAAAATGAAGAATAATTGATGTCTTTGGATTGTAGAGTTGTTAAGAATGCTAAATATATCATGAACTGCTAAAAGGACTAACAAATCTGTCTTGGAAGAAGTGTGTAGGGAACATTACTCAGCTGTTCATGGGTTATACTGTGACTAACACAGGTTTGTTAACGTCTTTTTAAAATACTTATGAAGTAGTCTTAAGTACCACATTACAAAATATTACCAAAAAATCATATTATTTATTGCCTATAATTTATCTACTGAATCACTAACTTTATATTGTTTCATCAAGGCATATGAGTATATAAAAATATTTTTTAATTCCCCATGTTTCCAATTTCCATTGTAAGTATTCTTTTCTGTTTTGAACTTCCACTTCATTTTATTTACAATCTTACTTTTTATTTTCTATTATGTTTTTATTTTTTAAATAGCATTTTTTATTGTGATTCAGTGTAGGTTTACTGAGTAGACATCAGTTTTCCATTCAACATGCAGTCCCCTCGATATTACATCACTTACCCCACTTCCTCTGTTTCCTATTTCCATTCATCCTTCCTTAACCCCTGACAAACTTTTTGTCCTCAAACAACTTTTTGATTAAAAAAAAAAACTTTTGATCTCAAATAACTGATTATTCTAGTTGTGCATACCTCATTAGTGCTATTTCCACCCTTCCCCCCCACATACCTGTGTATTGTTTGGCTGAAAACTGAGCCACAGGTGAGTTCAGTTCCAGACCTGCAGGGTGACTAAGGGCCATTTTTGCTTTAATATGGCTAGTTCTCTAAATGATTTTGAAGTAACATTATTGCTATATCCATGTAAATGAGAACAAAGTTGCAATATATGAATTTTATGATAAAACTGAATTATGCAAACCATTAATATTTATTTTTGCTAGAGATAAACAACTTTTTCTGAACATATGTCTCCATAATGAAAACAAATTATGATATACCAATTATCATAAATGAGAAGAGTCTGAGTAAGCAGTATTTTGTGTTTACTAATACCTACAAGCAAAATGATAGTATTAGCTAGAACAGTCCAAATCATCTTATTTTGCTTTTGCTCTGACTTCTTTGTACAAATGTCTTCCAGCACCTGAACACCAACAGACATCTGAAACTTAACACATCCAAAATTAAGCTCAGCCCCTTCTACTCCCACTCAACCCCAACCTGCTCTTTCTAGCATATTCTTTCCCTACATACAAAGTACCCTAATGTACCTAACCTTCAAAGCCAGGAAGCTTGATAAAATCCTATTGAATGGGGTGGCGATAAAAAAAGTGCATTTGAAATCAGATATCTAGGGTTTAAATTTAGCCTTTATCTCTTGTTAGCTGTGTGAACTTGACTTTTTCATCTGTACAAATGCACTTAGCACATTGGGTTGTTCCACAGAATAAATAAAATAAGATTCGCCACAATACCACTAACATCCAATTGATGGGAAGTTCTATAGATTCTACATCTTGGTTCTTTTGCTTGGATCTTCTCTACATTTCTAATGCCCGGAAAAATTGTATCACATATGCATCCATATGCCAGTGAAAGAACAATGTGACTTTTAATTAATTACTCAGAGAGATTGTTTTATTTAGTTTACCAAGCTGAATACATATGTTTTTCTTAAGCTATATCAGTTAAAGCTTCAAATAAAGCCTGGCATTAATTTTGGGCACAAGAAAAACTTTAAAAAAAAATTCAGAATAGTAATGATTATCTATGTTAGTGACCATGACTTTTCACTCAGTTTGTCATACTGTGGTGGTTTGTGTGTCTCTGTGATTCTGGGAGCTATGCCACGGGTATTTTAAATACCAGCAGGGTCAACCATGGTGGACAGGTTCCAGATGAGCTTCCAAATGAAGACAGACAAGGAAGGAGAGACAGATTACTTCCGAGTATTTAGTCACTGAAAACCTTATGAATAGCAGTAGAACACTGTCAGATAGCACCAGAATATTGACTTTTGAAACATGGTGAGCAGTACCGGAGTATTGTCAGATATAGTGCCAGAAGATGAGCCCCGCAGGTTGGAAGGCACTCAATACACAACTGAGGAAGAGCTGCCTCCTCAAAGTAGAGTTTACCGTGATGACTCAAATGGAGTAAAGCCTTCAAGACCTTCATTTGCTGATGGGGCACAACTCAAAATGAAGAGAAACAGCTGTAAACATCCAGTAACAATCAGAACATGGAATGTACAAAGTATGAATCTAGGAAAACTTGAAATTGTCAAAAATGAAATGGAATGCATAAACATTGATATCCTAAGCATTAGTGAACTGCAGTGGACTAGCATTGGCCATTTTAAATCTGACAATTACAT